GGCCCAACCCCCCTCAGCTGACGTTTGGTTCGTTTTCAGTGTCTTCTTCCTGCCATGTGATGTCGTTTGTCTTGATGAAGCTCTGAAGATTGTTTTTTGGTTTTGAAGCCCTTCAGTCTCAGATGCTGTCCGATGGTTATGGGGCTGCAGTCGCACCAGTAACGGCCTTATATTGGGTCGAGGATCGTCCGGTGTCTCAAAAGACAGCCAATCAGATCCTCCGGCTCAGTGCTGGTGACATTTTTTGGGGTCTTCCACTTGATTCTTTTGTTCCATAACCCTCAGGATCCTTTAAGAAATCCCAAATGACCGTCTCACTGCGTCCCTGTTTATGCAACACGACCACGTTCAGGGTTTGTTTACCTTTGCCATCACGACTACCTGACAGAACATGACAATGAATCCACATTTTTGCACCGATTTAAAAACACGTGGTCCTAAACCTTTGATCACCTGTTTCGATTTAAGTGCTCAAAATTGCTCAAAAAAGTTTCTGTCTCACTCACATTTCTTCTTGTTGCATGTTGAAGCTCTACTTGGAACCTTGTTGAGATCCAACAACGCAAAATATAATTTTTGTTGTTGTTGTTGTCATTTTTAAAGTGGTTTTAAACTTCTGATCAGGACTGCACCATCTCTCTGGCCGACTACCATTACATTTGAACTAGCCTGACTTCAGTGCTGCTTATTTTCCTCCATCATTTGTACGTTTTAGAAATCCTTCAGACTCCTTCAAGTTCTGCTCCTTGTAAATCCTTGTTTTAACGTAACAGCTGGGAGGAGAGCCGCACTGATCGCTGCATGGGGCCGTTTTTAACGCTCAGTTTGTCTGATGTCAGGAACTAAAAGAAATGGCTGAGAGCAGAACATACAGCTGGAAGTCTGACAGTAACATAATCACACGGTCACAGCCGTTTCTGTAGGCCGTGAAGCCGCAGGAAGCTGCTGCAGTATTCTCCTGAGCAACAGGTGTCGCCACTCAGACGATCCACCTCACATATGAAAGGCAGATTCAAAACTAGAAGCAAAGCCGTTAAAAAGTGTTTTTATTTTTAACATAATGTTTCATCTTTTTGAACATCTGCAGCATGTCGGTCCATAAAAATCTGAATCTGTGAGCTTCTGAATGGATGTGTCATTAACACGCTGGTCAAAGCTGACACGATCGTACACTCGCGTCTTCAACCAAGAGCTGCACCACCAACCGAAAAGACATCAAAGCTGCCACTCGCACCGGTGGATGCGATGCCAAATTGGTGGCACAGATTTCTTCCATTTAAACCACTGGATACGTCTATT